CGCTTAACCAACTGAGCCACCCAGGCGCCCCCAAGCAGCACATATTTGATCCTTCTCAAAACTATGCAGGCTATAGGTCAGCCTTCTGGGTTAAAGGCGAATATTTTTCTGTTTCTATCTCTCATCATTTCACCAATGACCAATTTTTAGTCCTTCAATTTTTAAGGTTGTTGAAAGATGAAGGGCTCATCTTCTGTAACTTCTTCAGGGTGACAGGAGTTGTAGACATGTCCCTACATGTGGACCGAAATTTGTCACTATCTGTCCCTACATGTAACTATTACAGAAGGCCATTCTTGTAGAATCCAGAGGGGACACTGGGATGAATTTGTTTTGAGCTGTAAACATCATCTGTTCGGCTGGGTGAAAGAGACAGGAACTGCTTGCATATACCTCAACAATGGAAGGGAACAAAGCAAAAGAAAGAACACATTACAATTATTACTGTAATGAAAAATTGGAAGAGCAGTGAGAAGACCCTTTAGGGTGACCATAATCCACCTCTCCACCAGAAATTTAATCAATCAATAAGTGATAGTGTAGGGAGAAAGAGAGACAAATCAAGAAACAGAGGCTTAACCAGAGAGAACAACCTTCGGGTTACCAGAGGAAAGGTGAGTGGGCGGAAGGCTTAAATAGGGGAGGGGAATTAAGGAATGCACCTGTCCTGATGAGCATCGGGTGATGTATGGAATTGTGGAATCCTTATATTGTACATCTGAAACTAAGAAAACATTGTGTGTTAACTGACTGGAATTAAAATCTTAAAAAGTCAAAAAAAAAGAAAAAGAAAAAGTAAAAGTGGTGGCAATCCATGAAAATACTGATGTATCTTTATAATAACCAAAAGCCATAAGTAGAGAATATTAGTTCATGTGGTTCAAATAAAGAAAACTTCCCAGATAGCAGGAGAGGTTAGCTAACTCTTTCCTAAAGGGCATTGAAATGTACATTGGCATTTCTTGATAATTACTTCAGGCCTGAAAATTATGGAAATTATTACACCTACGTCATTATATCAGAACAAGAATGCTTCTTGAATGCTTAAATCTGTATTTTGAACAAGGATCCCACAGTGGATTTGAAATGCTTAACTTAGTCTCTGTGTGATCTAAATATATTTTAATGAATAGTGAGGTGCCTGGGTGACTCAGTCGATTAAGCAACTGCCTTTGGCTCAGGTCATGATCCTGGGGTCCTGGGGTCCTGGGGTCAGGTCATGATCCTGGGGTTCCCTGCTCAGCATGGAGTCTGCTTCTCCCTCTGCCCCTCCCTCAGCTCATTTTCTCTGTCTGTCTTGCAAAAATAAATAATTACAAGGGGGGGAAAAGAATGCTTCTTGAATGCTTATAATTTTTATTTTGAACAAGGATCCCTCAATGGATTTGAAATGCATAACTTAGTCTATGTGTGATCTGAATGTATTTTGATGAACAGAATATAATGCTTTCTAATGTGTTAACACTGATATGTAATGAATGATGTATTATCCGGCCACCAATAATTACCTACCTCACCTTATTTAAGAATGTAGACCACATACAGTATCGATCACCATTTGGTAACAGAGTGACATAATACAACTAGTAATCCGTTTTCTCAGTGGCCTCACACTTTGTATGATATAGTTATATTTCCCACAGTTTATCTGTTGCGTCGTTTTCTCCTCCTTGGAACTCTTGGGACATCAGGATAGATATAGTACAGATTATATCAGGGGTATTATTGGCAGTTTAGGTAAACTCCTCCATGATGGTGCTACTTGGCGTCCATTTTGTGTAGTCAGGTGGTTTGCAGGGGACT